CAATCCCTACCTCAATCTCTACCTCAATCTCAACAACAATCTCTACCTCAATCTCAACCTCAATCTCAACCTCAATCTCAATCCCGATCTCTACCTCAATCTCTACCTCAATCTCTACCTCAATCCCTACCTCAATCTCAACAACAAACTCTACCTCAATCGCTACCTCAATCTCTACTTCAATCTCAACAACAATCTCTACCTCCATCTCTACCTCAATCTCAACCTCAATCTCTACCTCAATCTCAACCTCAATCTCTACCTCAATCTCAACAATCTCTACCTCAATCTCTACCTCAATCTCTACCCCAATCTCTACCCCGATCTCTACCGCAATCTCTACCTCAATTTTTACCTCAATCTCAACCTCAATCCCTACCTCAATCTCAACCTCAATCTCTACCTCAATCTCAACAATCTCTACCTCAATCTCTACCTCAATCTCTACCTCAATCTCAACAATCTCTACCTCAATCTCAACCTCAATCTCAACCTCAATCTCTACCTCAATCTCTACCTCAATCTCAACTTACCCTCAACCTCACTCAACCTCACTCAAACTCAAACTCAATCTCAACCTTAAATGTTAAATTTCAGTACACGGCACGTGAAACTACTCGTCCCTTTAGTTATGCTTTCTAAACACATTTTTTGATTCGGCGAATAGCAGAAAGTTCGTCAGCATCAGAGCAGACACAAGTGACACCTTTTGCAGACACCATATGGCATTTTTGATGTTTCTTGTCAATGTCTTTTTTTACTAATTTTTGGCATGCGGTTCCTAACAGCACGCAGTTGTCATTTTCTTTGGCGTCATTTGAAGCTACGGTAAATTGAAGAAGTTATCGATGAAAACTTTAATGCACAATTGCTCAAGTGGTTTAGTAATGAATCAACTACACCCTCTCCCAATCCATGTTCAGTTTTAGTGTTTTTTTTGTGTGTGTACAGGTCAAACTGATTTAAGAAAGTTCAACGTCCAACCTGGAGGACCCAGGGTGCTAGCTTTATTCCTATCCACGGAGATCTTTCTGTCAGCAGTGTACACTTCCGCTGGTATCATAGCATGTAAATAGCCTTAATAGTTATTTTTTTTTACTTTTTCGTTTACGGAGTAAAGAAGAAGTATTGTAATAGTGCGAAACATCAAAATAGAGATTTTCAAAATCTCGACGTTATAGACCTCCCTTAGTCGGATAAAAGTTAGTTTTGCAAGCTTGTCTGTATATCTGTTCGTGCGTCTGTTTGTGTGTATGTATGTCTGTAATTCTGTGTACACGACAACTTGAGCACCGTTATAGCTAGGTTGATGGAATTTCATGTTTAAATGTTACATCAGATTTGTAGTTCTGTATTTATTTTTCAGCGAATTGCCGGAAACGGAATTTGAATTATTCATTTTCGATGTTTTTAAATTGTTTCTGATGGATAGACACAATTTTACATAAGATTTACTTCAATATTTCGGGTAAAATTTTGAGTAAATTAAAATGACCGGACGCAGTATATTTCTATATTTTCTCATTTCTTTTAAACGCATATGAATTTATAAAGTACTTATGTCCCGCACTATTATTTACGCATTGTTTGCTGTTCACTTGATGCGCAATTCATCTTGCTATGAGATTCTATTTTATTTTTAGAAATTTAAGTATGTGAAAATTAATTTAAAAATCTAGTCTATATCCTGGCATGCCATTCCCCGTAGTGTTATATACAAATACTCTAGAAATTTTAGCGTTTTTTTAATAGTTGTAACTGCAAATTCATGATTGTGTATTGTTAAATTACTTAAAGATATATTTTGCATTGTTTTTCAAAAAAAAAATTGTCAAGGCTTTGTTGTTTTCATCAGGTGTGTTTGTAATTAATGGTTGCTGACATATTTTTCTTTTGTGACAAGTTCTACACTTTTTGTATACCAATTCAGGACACACACAACATCACTTTCCATACATGGAATGCTTTTTCCCTTCTATTATTCCTAAGTCGTATAGAAAACAAAAAACTAATATAACGGGTAGTGTTAGTACCCTCATACAATAAAGACAATAACAGGTACAATGAACGTTTCGATCTTAGATTTCGTAAGCACACAACATTGTGGTAAAAACTACACAAAAAGGCAAACCGTGCTTTCACTACTACATTATTTGTATTTAAAAATAATAATAATTTAAATGTTGATAATTTTAAATAATCACTCAATCAACATTCATTGAATTTTTCATTTTTTATTATCTATAAATTAAAATAACTTTCAAAATTTCGTATCTTTAAATGTTTGAGTTAGGATTCATCGTCAGGTTGAGACGTTGTGGACTCTTCAGGAAACCTGAAATATTATTGATAAAATACCATAGATAAATTAAACTAATTTATTGTAAGATAAAGTAGCTCGGTTTGTCGTTAGTCAATAAATTATTTTATTTCTCGACAATTGTCCTTTTGTAACAAGCTTCCAGTTGTGGATAGTGTAATCTAATATAAATTTATTTTTGAAAGTATACTGTTATGTGTCATATAGTTACTTAGTAAACTGTCTTTATATCTATGTAGTACGTTATTTAGAAGTTTTTTTATTCACAGTTTGTTTATGACTTTAAAGTCAATTATGTATTCAGGCTGTCTTTATTTTTATTTTAGCTTTGTTTAAAAAACATTAGAAAATTAACTATATAAGTAAAATGTAAACTAAATTTCACTTGGGCAGGTGAAAAAGAGTTTACCTGTTATAAAGGTTTAGTAATACAAACATATTAACGACATTTTAATTTAAAAATAAATAAAAATCAATTAAATAGTAAAGACAGCTTTTTGAAATTTTAAATAAAGCAACAATTTAAAATAATTATATTACTTAATGGAGTATAATGAGAGTAACACCGTGTCTAGCGGCATCTAGGTCCCCTAATGTGAGTCAGGTACCCATTAGGGTATTTAGTGAGTTCTTAGTAATTGAATTAGATATGAATTAATACACACATACGCTACTTCTACTGTTATGGAAAACCTGAATTAAAAGCTGCTGAAAAGGCTGACTAGAAAATAACGTCACGTTATTGGTGGAGAGTACAAAATATAAGTCTCGCATTTAAATGTATACTCTATACAAAAATAGTGACGCTGAAGACGTATGTCAGAGCACTTGTTTGTAACCCGAGTTTAGATCCTAGTTTTTAGTCTGCCCAGCTCTGACCAGCACTAACTTAACATAGTATCGAAGTTAAGTAAAGTTTCCCTTTCAAACCTGACGGTTTATGGGGCAAGTGAAGTAGAGTCCAACTCTCTACCGCTAGACCACTCCGTCCCACACATAGTATCGACCATGCTATGAATTCTTAGGGCGAGGTCTCGGTAACAGTCGCAAGCTCTTATTCATCTAAAACATGAACTACCTGGTTTAAAAGAGCAACATTTAGAGGAAAATGATGATAATAACAAGGTATAAAATGTATATGTACCCTGTGATGGAAATTTGCTCAGGTATGTCAAAACTACAGTCGCTGTTATCACAGTTTACAACACCGTGGTCACACATGCATTTGAGGCATAGCGGCACCGTGCCTGGAATCACGCCTTCAGCATAGTGCTTGTCGCCAATGTCGCAGCCTTCGTCTTCTAAAATATTTCATAAAAAGACACATTTTATGCAACATTAAAAGTGCAGTCGTACATGTACATTTTTTTTTAAGGCACTCTACCATAAACAATAGAAAGTATTATACAAAAATACGTTGTCTTTTTATTTTAAATTTCCATTATAAACAAAAGTGAAACAATGTAAACATTAAGAAATTATCTTCCATCTAATTTGTTAATTAAATTTATCAAATACATGAATAAGTCTGTGGAATTAACTTTTTAAAGCAAATAAGTCATTTTAACCACTACGGACAGAAAAGATTACCTGCTTTAGCAATCTCAGTCATACAGACACATACGATGAATACAGTCACGTAGATCTTCATGGCTGTGAACATTCTGAAGAACTTTGCAACCCGATTCTAGACAGCTTTACAAACGGCACACACGCATCAGCAAAAACTTCGACTTTTATCTCCTCAGTGCGTCTCTAAAAACGATAATCACTTTACAATTTGTTTGAAACATTTGTTAGTAAAAATTGATCAAATAGATAACTAATTGCCCTTGTATGAGGGGCTATGTAGGCGGGCGTACAATTAAAATGCAATACAATCGATGGAGTCAACAGCTTGAGAATATATAACAGATGTGCTGTGAAGTTGCACTGAATGCGGTATGGCTCGTGAAACACAGTCGCACTGACAAACAGAAAATTGTGAAGTGAAAACAGTCAATTTGGTATGGTCTTAATTGATACGGTGGAGTGGACATACTCGAGTGGACACGGTGGAGTGGACACGATGGAGTGGACACGGTGAAACGAACACGGTGGAGTGGACACGATGAAACGGGCACGGTGGAGTGGACACGGTGGACTGGACACGGTGAAACGGACACGGTGGAGTGGAAATGGTGGAGTGGGCACGGTGGAGTGGATACGGTGGTGTGGACACGGTGGAGTGGACATGGTGGAGTGGACACGATGAAATGGACACGGTTGAGTGGAAATGGTGGAGTGGGCACGGTGGAGTGGACATGGTGGAGTGGGCACGGTAGAGTGGACATGGTGGAGTGGGCACGGTGGAGTGGAAATGGTGGTTTGGACATTTCATTGCCGACATTGTTGAGTGAGTATGGTGTTGCGGACATTTAGGAAAGAAACTACGGAGTGGACACTTTAGAAAGAAATATGTGGGAATGGGCTCGACGGAGTTGACACGGTTAAGTAGACACAGTGTGTCGGAACCCGAGTTGTAAATTCATTGGAGTGGACACGCTAGAGTGGACATTAATCGGTAATTTTCTTTGAACTTATTATTGCAATCTGTAGCGTAAAGCTAAAAAAATCGATAGGCAGCATATTATCCTAATCTGTTTAGTGCACCAGCTGCTTCAAAACGTTTGAAACACTTAGTATTTTAACATTAGAACTCTGAGTGTGTATATGTACACAGGATGAAACTAAAATTATTAGGTAAGTAGAAATATTGCATGGTTCATTAAAGTAATGTTGCTTGAACTTATTAGGAATAATAAATGAATAGGACTAGGTCTAAAATTTAAAGTCTATTGCATTAAATCTAAAGGCCAAAGTCGAAAAATAATGCTTTAGAATTGACGGTGTCAGGTGTGATTTCGCACTGGGCATCAACTGTGGAGTGATATTTTTTAGAGTGATATCTTATTTTCCAAAAAATCCGTGTTTGTTGTGAAAATTAAAAAATAAAAATTTATTTCTGAGCTTTTGTGTTTCTAGAAGAAAATATTTCCCTAAACGTCTTTATTTTTTTAATTAGACATTCACTTTAAATCTAATTGTTTTCTACATAAACATGTATTTTTATATTCTACGCTAATTGAATATATTCTTATCTTTAGTTTGGACAAGTATATAAACAAACAAAAACAAAAAAACAAGATACAAAAGTGTAAATAAATTCAGAGCTTCAGTTGCATATAAGTAAATAGTAACACACGAGAGGATGGCAAAGTAAAATAGTGACATGACTGACACCTTTTTAGTTAAAACCATAAAAAATCAAAACGTGACATGTGTTGGCTTAATTTTAACAAAGTTAATGTTAATTTTAATGCATTCAATATTCATATGTATGTTGATTGTCCGTCTTTTTTCACATCAGAGCTTACCGTAACCAAATACAATTCAAGAAAGTATACTGTTTAGTGTTTTAATTATTGTGTGTTAGTTGTTTTGGATGTTGGTGAACACGCCGGTTAGATTAGGGTGAATGACATCGAGATATATGACTTGAAGGAAATTTCTAAGGGTGACTAATCACTGGTGTGTTATTTCCGAAAACAATTCAAAGGTCGGGACATGTTATTTTCTAGAAGCTAGCATATCTCTACAGGCCAGATTTTTTTTTTAATTTTTCATTCAGCTTGTAAAATATAATCAGTTTTTACCTCATACATGTTATTTACAGCGTCAGTTTGACATGCCATGTTCGCTTAGTATTACAGTTTCAATCATCGGCTTGTGAGGACTAATACATATTTTTTTTGTTATCAAATGTAATTTCATGTATTAAAAAAAAATGTCTACTTGTAAAATAATTCAATAGAAAAAAAATGTACATTTATGTTGTGTGTTAATGGATTTATTGGAGTTATTTTGCCTTGAGTGTGTAGATGGTGTCTGTGCAGTGACTGTAGTGATTGCCAACGACACGATATTGTCAGAAATTGTTCTGTACAGTTGTCGAGAAAACCTGACAGCATCAGGTTTTGCGTTCTATGTACGCGAGAATGAGTAATGTAACCTAAACTAAGCTGACGTTGTTTTAAAGCAGGGGTCTCCAAACTAAGGCCCGCGGGCCGGATGCGGCCCTCGAAGTCCTCTCATCCGGCCCGCGGAGATCTTTTTGTCCAAGGAAAATTTTTTTGTTGGGGATGGCTGAGGAACTTTGCCCAGAAAAATCAAAGACATGCCTAGAAGAAACTGGCCCCAGAACTGAAATTTGATAGTTAATGCGGCCCTCTGACTGAAAAGTTTGGAGACCCCTGTTTTAAAGCAAGGCACGCTTCCAGTTTTAAATCTTCTCATATCACATTGTTTTTAGATCAGCTACTTTCAAAAACAGCAGTGAATGAAGAGCTTGAGAAGCTCAACAGCTTGAAGGCATCAGTTGACGGCACCCCGCATGTATACTGGCAGCGCTGGTTGATGCTGTTGCTCTTCTGCCTCTATTCATTTAGCAACGCCTTCCAGTGGATCCACCTCAACATCATCGCTAACGTGGTGGTGGAGTTCTATAATGAAAGCTTATCAGCCAATGAATATCAGGTCAGTCGGTTTTAACAGCATGTAACGGGTTTTAGGTCGAAGGGCAAAATAGATAAGGTATTATTATTACATTTGGAATGACCTCCCAAACTCGGGGTGCCTACGTTTATTTAATTTCTACGTTCAGTCATCTTTGTTTTGCACATAAATGAGTTCCGTATTAGAATTAAAGAAATACATTCAACAGTCTTAATTTATGTGTTATCTCATCATATGTGGTGGACAAAAATAGACGAGGCCTTTTTAGTAAACCTGTATTAATTATGTTTGTCATCGGCATCGCACGCTTTGCTTAGAAATGTGTGTTTCGTTTATCTTATTATTATGTTATGTGACTTAAACATTTACGACAACTAAGGCAGTGTTGGATCAATATAACCTAGGCTAGAAACTACTGTTGGAAAGTACTGTATGAGCTATTTTAGCTTAAGCAAGAAAGTATGGATGGTGCTACAATAGCTTAGGCTAGAAGGTGTAGTTAGGTCAATAATAGTTTAGACGATAAGCTATTTTTGGAGCTAGTTAGTTAAGCAAATGAAAAATGTTGGAGCGATACAGATTGGGATAGTTAAAACTGTTGTATTTATATAGTCTTGGCCAGAAGGCAATGGTTTGAGATATAAAAAATAGCAGTCGTAAAACACGATAAATACGTTAAACGTTTGCATAAACTCAACGTCAATAAAATGCCTATTTTAAGACTAAAATCTTCACAAGCAAATGCGTTTCTATGGTATTATAATAATGCTGATATCAAAACTTAATTCGGCAGCGCAACTCGGCCATTGATTGGCTGTCAATTGTCTACATGCTGATTTACATCATCCTCATTATTCCCGCTACTTGGTTCCTAGACAAGAAAGGCTTAAGACTCTCCTGCATATTTGGATCTTTTCTCAACGCCTTGGGTGCTTGGCTAAAATGTGCCAGTGTGTCGCCAGACAGGTCAGGACTTTATTCTTTGTTGATGTGTAAAATATGCATGAGCGTCGGAACACTCGTTCAAGGGCGGATGGGTCATGTCAGTGGCGTAGCGAGGTCGGGCGTCACCCGGTGCGGCACTTAATGGTGTCACCTTCCCCCCCCCCCCCCCCCCAGAGGCGTTGCGACCCTTCCCGGGGACAAACTTTCAAATTTTCGATTTGCACCCCTCCTCAAGTTTTTGATTTGCACCCCCCTCAAACTTTCTATTTGCACCCCCCCTCAAGTTTATCTCTATATATTTTGCTATTTTTTGCCTTGGTGTCACCCCCCTAAATGATGTCACCCGGTGCGGTCCGCACCCCCCGCCCCCCTCGCTACGCCCCTGGGTCATGTGACTACTTTAAGTCTCCCGTAGAATAACGTACCTGTGCTTTTGCTTTGATGGTAATTTATCACTTTTATATTTACGCTAAATTTACCGGTTCTCTTTAGATAATTGGATTGTGTGTGTCATCCAAAAATAACATCACGTTTGTTTGACGATTTTTATCTTTCACTTCTCGTCCTGACTCTCACACATCGTTACAGAAAGCCAGACCCAACATTCGTTTACAAAGACATCACTCAGCAGACAACTAGATTTTAGCTTTTAAAATACCATTTCTTGCGAGATACAGAAACAGTTGATCTCTATTACATTTGTCCCTTGTCCCGCCAAGTCCCGATCGACAACCTTGTCATTGACATATAAAAAGACGTCACACCCCAGCTTACAAGCTATTGTCTAAAAAAAATATTTCTACAATATTTTCTGAAGTCGAACCTCATTTAAAAAATCAGTGAATGCATTATTAAAACAAACATATAACTAATAATAATGATTTAGAACTAATCGCGTGTAGTGGTTTTGCCATGTACAATTAGCTTTATATTGCGTTCAACGTTTGAATAGCCATAATATTCTATGGAAGCCGCCATGCTTACTGTGAAAAAAAAATAAACAAAGTAACGTATACAAATCCTGCGAAGGTTTTTAAATGTGTTATTAAAATAAAGTACCTGGTCTGAACATTCAGAACTAACGGTATTTCTGCATATATATATATATATATATATATATATATATATATATATATATATATATATATATATATATAAATATATATATATATATAAATGTATATATATATATATATATATATATATATATATATATATATATATATATATATATATATATATATATACGAGCCGACCCGCGGTGTATGATACGCCGCTATTTAGTTGTTTTGTCTACTTTTCAGTAATTCATAATTTGTGAGTTCGACAGTACCAATGCTGCCACTGAAAATATCTGCTTTAAAACACTGGACCCCCATCCCCCCCCCCCCCCCCCCCCGTGAAAGCAGCCTCCTCTTAGTTACCTCCTCTAAGTTTAAAATAGTTTCAAACTGAATTATCTGCCCCTAATAGCCGTCACCAAACCCTGCTTTACGATTGTTTTGTAAACATTTAGCGTGAACTACAACTCACCTGACCATGTGAGGGGGTGGGGGGGGGGGGGGTGGTAGCGATAGAGAGAAAGAGAGGGGGCTGCAAGGCGCGCGCTTGCAGCTTGTTTTCTAGCGCCTCCCAGAAGAGAATTATATATATACGAGCCGGCCCGCGGCATAACATACGCCGCTATTTAGTTGTTTCTAATTTTCAATAATTCATAATTTGTGAATTTGACAGTACCAACGCTGACACTGAAAATATTTCTTTAAAACACTATAAGTAGCTCGTTAAGGACCATAACCCCCCCCCCCCCTTCCTTCCCTCCCTCCTCCTCCCCCCCCCCTACGTTTAAAATCGTTGCCTCTGCTTGTAAACATTTAGAGTGAACACAGCTCACTAAAACCATGTAGGGGTGGGGAGGTAGGGAGAGCGTTTGCAGCTTGTTTTCTAACGGCTCGAAGAAGAGAATTATATATAGATATATATATATATATATATATATATATATATATATATATATATATATATATATATATACATATATATATATATATATATATATATATATATATATATATATATATATATATATAGGCCTATATATATAACAATAAATTAAATATCATCTTTAAAGAAAATTTTGTTGAACAGTTTTATACAGTGTAGATGCTTTCAACTAACGAAAATAAAAAAAAATAAAAAATAAATATGCACTTTTTACATTTAGTAGCATATAGACAGATAGACGGATCAGTGTTTTCTGTATTTTTTAATGCTTGGAATTTAAATAGTAGATGATCTTTGTCAAGGAATCGAATATATATAAATCACAAAACTAATATCTAAAACTTTGTATGAATATTTAAAGACACACATTGAAACTAAAATAAAATCTCTTTCTCTTGTATGTTTCTATGGGATAGATCTTTATAATGTTATTTTTGAAAATGTCAAATTTGATTGTATTTAATGGTATGTATGTATTCACAGATTTTGGTTGGTGATGACTGCACAAACGATATGTGCCATCTCACAGTTATGGGTGCTGGGAATACCTGCACGTTTCGCAGCCGTCTGGTTTGGTCCAAACGAAGTCTCTACTGCCACCTCTTTGGGGGTTTTCGGAAATCAGGTCAGAGGTGTAGCTAAACAGGGTGGGGTACCTCGGAATCCGACCATAGGGGGTGTCAAACGGGGTAAAAAACAATTAAAAGTGAAATGAAGCAGCAGTTTTTAATTTTTTAAAAGTCAAATGAAAAGTAATAGCTTCAAGGCCTTTATAATGGTTTACTATTTCTATCTATGTCGTGTAAGCGTAATATATATACCTTTAAGAATCAGTGACCGGCAAAAACCAGTTGCCAGCTTTTCCTAGATGGGGTAGGGGGCGTTTTTTTGACACTAGATTAAGATTGGATTTACAATGAATTGTTGAGTTGTTAACTTTAAAAGAGATATAATTAATCAATTGTATTAAAGCGTATTTGCGTTTGTGTAACATAAAGATGGTAGTGGTGTTAAGCTTTGTTCAAGATGGTGGGTGAGTATTTTTTCGCCAACTAAATTCGCAAAGATTTACACTGGATTAAAGAGTAGATAGCTCTTTTAAGGGGATCAGCTAACTTTTTTACAAGGTAGGGGATAAAGGATCGAAAATACTTTGTTTGGCACAGGAAAGAAAGTAGCCTTTACTAAACAGTAAAAAAAACCGTTAGAAAACAATTTTGGTTCACATGAAAATCCGAAAATACCTCCGCTATCTATCTATCTATATAATTCTCTTCTGGGAGCCGTTAGAAAACAAGCTGCAAGCGCGCCTTGCAATCCCCTCTCTTCCTCTCTATCGCTACCCCCTCCCCCCCCCCCGCCCACCCCTCACAATGTCTGGTGAGCTGTGTTCACGTTAAATGTTTACATAATACAATCATATAGCCGGGATAATTTAGTTTGAAACGATTTTAAACTTAGAGGAGGTAACTAAGAGGAGGCTGCTTTCACGGTGGGGGGGGGGGGGGGGGGAGAAGAGGGGTTTAGTGTTTTAAAGCAAATATTTTCAGTGGCAGCATTGGTACTGTCGAATTCACAAATTATGAATTACTGAAAAGTAGAAAAAACAACAACTAATTAGCGGCGTATGATACACCGCGGGTCGGCTCGTTTTTAATATTATGGTACTTGTAAAATTGCAAATGGTTTTTTACTATCTCGTATACTAAGTATAAAGAAATATTGTAATTGTGAAAACAAAAATCGAGATTTTTGCTATTCTTGACGTTTTACTTCTCCTTGGGTCGGAAAAACAAAGTTTTGCAATCTTGTCCCTATGTCTGTGTATGTCAGTGTGTGTGTGTGTGTGTAAACACGATAACTTGAGTACCGTTGCAGCAAGGTTGATGAAATTTCATATATAAGTATTATATCAAATGTCTAGATCTGTATCAATTTTTCAGCGATTTCCGATTAGCGGAAGTGGAATATTTTCTACTTTCAATTTTTTTAAATCTTTGACTTCAGTACTATTTTATATGAATAAATGAAAATTCACATATGAGTGAAAGATCTAATTCTCTGCCTTCTGTACAATTTTGAGTAATATTCGTTGACCGGAAGTAGTAATTTACGCTATTACGGATTTCTCAAAAAAAACGCAAGTGAATTTATAAAGTACTAATAATATTCCGCACTATTATACACATTTTATTTGGCGTTTACTTGGTGTGCAATTCTTTTTTTCCCTTTTTTCTACGCGATTCTATTTCTTTTTAAAAAAGTTTAGGTAATTAAACATGGATAAACAATAATGTTTAAATCCCGAGTTGCCATCCCTGGTAGTGTAATATAAGAATATTCGAGAAAGTTTAGGGGAGATCACTCCCGGTTTATTATTTATGCAGTTATAGCAACATATTTAAAAGACCTATATATTAAAACTTGTCTCACGACAACTTTTTGAAAGAACTGCTTGTTATAATTCTAAAGTGTTTAAAAAACACACAGTTGTTAGTTTACAAAAGTTTCAAAATTTGCATATTATTTACCATAAACTTTTTTTATGAAAGCCATTACAATTACCTCGTATCAATTATAGTCAAAGAGGGAAAACATGTTTATTTCAAAACTTTTATCAGTATCATTCATCTTTTATCGATCTGTGTAAAGTGTTCTTCTTTTATAATAATACTTGTACTTGTTTTCGCTAAAATCTTTTTACTCAAAATGTGCAAGTCCTATTCAGTTTCATTTAATTGTTTTTTTAATGTATTTTTTTGTGAACAAAATATAAAACCGATATATTTCATTTAGATTGGGATTGCTGTAGGGTTTTTGATTCCTCCAATGCTTGTCCACACCTCTAAAGACAGAGACACAATGGAAACAGATTTTTATATCATGTTCTACATCAACGCTGCGTTCGCAAGTTTTGTATTCGTTCTTATATTACTTTGTAAGTTTATTTTTATTGTTTACTTATTTTTTTGAAAATTTGTAAGTATATCTTTCTTATAATTTTCTCTAAGCATTTGCAAAAATTAATTCTCTAATTATTTTGTTACTAGTAGTAAGTTTCTATATCTTGTTAGTATCTAATTAACAGTTTTACGTGACAAGCCTCCCCTCCCACCCAGCAGAGCCCAACAGATGGCAGTAGACGTAGCTGCACATGAGGAATATTTCAAATCTTTGTTTAGAATGTTAAAAAATAAAGGATTTGTATATCTCGCCATAGCCTATGGTAGGTCAAGAATTAGAAACATTTGTGTCTTGAAATTGCATCCCATTCTTTCAATTTAACATTGATTATAGAGTTATATTTTCCATTTACAATGTTAGATTTGGCATCTCTGTTAAATGGTTTAGTCTTAGAAATTATCTAAATATAGTTAAATCTAAAACTTCATTATAAACAACCTGTATTGTAAATTTTCATACAGGTATCATCACAGGATCATTTTATACGATTTCAACTCTCTTAAACGCCATTATGTTGCATTATTTTAAGGTGAGTGATGCATTTGGTGATAAGATCCCGTATTTAATTTCTTCTATATCAGCTCTTCGTACTTCGAACTAAATTTTGTTTCTTTTACAGAATGAAGAAGAAAATACAGGGAGAATCGGTATGACCATAATACTGACGGGAGTGCTAGGAGCTATTATTGCTGGAATTTGGCTAGACAAAACTAAAACTTTTAAGTAATTACATAATACATTTGCTTTTAACAATTTTAACGAAAAAAGTTTTTTTTTTGTTTTGTTTAAAGCTATAGGTTGTGCTAATTACGTTTTTATATTTAACATTGTATTTAATTTTAAAACTGTAAATATTTCAAATTTGATAAGTTTTGAAATACTACTACATTTAAACTAATAGTATTAAATAATCACTGCAAAGTATGTATAATAAAGATTAAAGTTTACTCGAATATTTACTTTAATTAAAAAATTGCTCCTAAAAATTCAAGGGCTACAACTATAGGAATATACATTTTTTCTTTGGCTGGTGCAGTTGCATTTACTTTTACTCTAGACCAAGAGGCTGTTTGGATAGTTTTTATAACTGCTGGAACATTGGGGTAAGTATACTAAAATATGTGTATATTACAATGACGTATTACTTAAAATATGTTAACAGTAAGACATAATAATGTATATTCATATATTCTTTACAGATTTTTTATGACAGGCTATTTACCAGTAGGATTTGAGTTTGCAGCAGAGTTAACGTTCCCTGAATCAGAAGGGACATCATCTGGTTTGCTGAATGCATCAGCACAGGTGTTATTTGTTATCATCACTAGTTTATCATCAATACACACGTTATTGGTTTACTGTTAGAAATTTATAGTACATTTTAGATTATAATTTTAGTTTTGTAAGGGTATTTTTACCGTTATACAACAAATTCTAATAATCACACTTGCATATATCTAAGTGCATTCTTTCTAAATGTAGAAAATAACTAATTACACATATTCAAAACACAAAACGCTAATTTAAATATTCATAAGTTAAGATAATTAATTAAGCATTAATTAAGCATTTATTAAGCTTTTTTATTTTCCTTATAGGTTTTTGCTATCATCCTAACACTCGGAATGCGAGCCATGTTTGAATCTATAAATGTGTTCAGTGCTAATATTACAATGTGTGCTCTTTTACTTATTGGGACTTTCTTAACCGGTCAGCTAATGCTAATTTATTTCAAATATTAATTTAATCTCTGTACAATTAGCTGTGTAGTTCCTTCGCAGTTCTTTATCTTGGTGTGAATGATTTTAATTTTTTTTCAAATCATAACGTGATTGCGGTCTCACACATTAAAAGGATGGAGCCATTGTTATATATTCAGTACTATTAATTTTTTTTTTTTTAAATGTACCACCATTGTAATTGATTAGAATAAAATCAATAAGTAAATAAATGTAATTAACCTAAAAACATAACAGATTTTATCACAAATTAGTGCAACTCTAAAATAGAGACATCTTAATAAATTCTATAATTTCAATCGGTTAATGTATAAAAGCACTAGAGTCTTAACTTAAAAGTAATCAATAATTTCCTTTATTCTGATAACATACTACACATAAATAATATTACTTTTTATCTGACTCCAGCTGTGATTAAACCAGACTACAGAAGGCAGAATGCAGGGAATGGAGAATGGGCACAAAGAACAGATTAAATCGTATCATTAAATAGATGTAATTTGATCATTTTAAAGTTTTTCTACATAACTAAAATTTCACTTTACTATCATATAGTGAGTTGTTATAAAAATAAAATATAGGATGATACTTTTTTAATAAATTCAGATGTATCTATAAGTCGTAATTTATTGTAAAAATCAATTTCAAAAAAAGCATAAAATGTATAAAAGGTCATTTCTCATCAATGTATTATGTAATTTAAAAACATTTCTAGTAAAGTGAGATTAGAGAGAAATGAAATATAATAAAGTATAAATGAGCGCTTAATGTTTAGTTAATACTCATATATTTAAAAAACTTTATAGTTATACTTTTCAGGAATGGAATAAATATTTAAAATGGATTTTTTTTTCTTTGAGCATTAAAACAAAGTTATGATAAATAGTATGTTTCATATCCTAGTGTGATAACGATAATTAACTGCCAGTTTATCATTTTTATACACAATTACAGTTTGTATATTTTTGTTTCAAAGTCGTAGATAGTAGGCCTTATAAAATGTACAATAGTCACACATAATGTTAATAATTGTGTCCAACTTTACACCAAAATGAAGGCATTATTCTCAAAAGTTAAAAAAAATAAACAACTCGTGAAAAACGGTTAAATAGATGTTTAACTATTAAACACTCGCCAAATGTCTCGAGTTCGAATCCAGGTTTAATATCACCCAGCTCTGATGGTACATACCTCAAGTTAGGTAAACAGGGCTGGGCATAGTGCCCGACAAAATATCCGTTTTTTGTATATATATATATATATATATATATATATATATATATATATATATATATATATATATATATATATATATATATATATATATATATATATATATATATATATATATATTATATATATATATATATATATATATATATATATATATATATACTAGCTGCATCCCGAACTCCGCCACGGTAAATCTTTTTCAAATGTACCAACTTGGGAACAGAACAAAACTAAACACAACACAACAAACGCAAAAAAAAATACGAAAAAACAAACACAACACTCATAACATAAACACAATTTGATACAATCATAAAGGCATATTGTTCACAGTCTAGCCCGTAGCGCCAAATCTCACAAACTCAGTGAATGACTATAAAACAGAGGCGTAGCGACCCTTTCCGGCGCCCGGGGACAAACTTTCGATTTGACCCCCCCCCCCCTCAAACTTACGATTTGCACCCCCTCCCCTCAAAATTTCAATTTCCACCCTACTCCCTCAAACTTTCGATTTGTACCTCCTCTCAGACTTTCGATTTGCACCACTTTTGATTTAAACCCCCCCCCCCCCCGCTCAAACTTTTGATTTGCACCCCCCCTCAAACTTTCGATTTGCACCCTCCCACCTCCCTCAAACTTTCGATTTCCAACCCCCCCCCCCCCCGCAAATTTTGTCCAATCCACATTGGCGCTCCCTAGAGTCGGCGCCCGGGGACATATACCCCCCTTGCTACGCCTCTGCTATAAAACCCCTAGCTTGTCCGCAAACCGAACGATAGAATAATAATTAGTAAACAATACGTTCAGTGTATAAAATAAATTAAAGGAAGTATTTAGAATATCCGTGTTTTACCGACCATATTGCGCTTAATAAATTCATGCATTTTTTTCAGTCCTTTTTACTTTCTCGTATATACGAAGTATAGAGAAAGTCTTGTAATCGTGCAAAAAAAAAAAAAACGAGATTTTTACAAATATCGACGTTTTACACCTCACTGATACGGAAAAACATAATTTTGCAATCTTGTCCGTATGTCTGTGTGTCTAGTCTGTGTGTCTGTCTGTGTGTCTGTCTGTGTGTCTGTCTGTCCGTGTGTAAACACGATAACTTGAGTACCGTTACAGCTAGGTTGATGAAATTTCATATATAAGTATTTTTTCAAAATCGTAGATCCGTATCAACTTTTGAGTGATTTCCGATAACCGGAAGTGGTACTTTTCCTACTTTGAATTTTTCAAAAGCCTATAACTTGAGTACTATTTCAGATAGATAAATGAAATTTCACATGTAAGTAAAAGATCTAATTCTCTACCTTCTGTTAAATTTTGAGTAATTTCCGTTGCCCGGAAGTATTAATTTACGCTACTTCCGATTTCTTATAAAACTAATGTAAATTTTAAAAGTACTAATAATATTGCGCACTATTATGCGCTTTTTTATTTGGCGTTCACTTGGTGTGCAATTAATTTTTCTAAGAGATTTTATTCTATTTTTAAAACTTTAAAGTATTTAAAATGGATTAAAAATCATGTCTATAGCCCGAGTTCCCATCCCCTGTTATTTTATATAAGAATATTCGAGAAAATTTAGGGGAGATTACTCCCGGTTTATTTAAATTTACAATAAAGTTTCATGACTAAAACCATTGCGCACCTAATGAACATGATGACATAATAATATAATAATGGAGAATAGTTGATTAAAAATTATAATTAGTAAACAGTACATTCAGTGAATAAAATAAATAAAAGATAGCCTTTCATCAATCAATGCTAATTATAATATTCCAACAATAATGTACTCTTACACGTCTGCATAATTTGCATTCACATTTTGCTAATTATATTATTCCAACAATTATTCCGTCTTGCAGATTTTGCACTCACATTTTTAGCGTGAGTTCAATTTATTTTTAAATTACCCCCGTTGGCAAAATTACTAAACAGTTTAATTAGATTTTTTCTAACCTACAGTTATTATGTTATTAAAATGTATCAACTTTTTCTAGGAATATTAACGAAAACAATATTTGACATTGATCCTTTTAATGTTTTAGCAATGTTCGTGTATTTAATATTCTCTTTACGTTATGCAAAATTGTACAAACAGTGGAAACTATAAAATAGCATTATGTCGTTATATAAAAAAAACCCTACTCGATTTCTTATAATAAGACAATGCGATGCACTGCAAAGCCCTACATGGTGCGATGTTTACTTTTATGGTTTCAAAATCTATAGCTATGACGGAAGGACTGACACACTACTTGCCCGCTTATATTATAGATTATATTATAGATATATATATGTATATTGATATATATATATATATATATATATATATATATATATATATATATATATATATAGATATAGATATATAATATATAGATATATTAACCCACGCCACTGTTCTTAAGTAAAAGAGAGTTAAGCTTTAAACTCAGTTTATCTGCTTAACCCGAAGCGACCAACATTCGATGTTAAAGTTGAAATATTTATTTTTCGTTTAAATCTCAAACAAAAAAAAAATTGCTACAATTAATTTTTGCCCCCTCTGCGCCACACATTATTTTAATATCCTTACGTTTTCTATCAAGTAATGCTTAGTTTTAGCAAGAACCCAATCTTAGCCATCAAAGTGGAAAATTGGATTTTATTAAGAAGTTAGGATAAGAGGCTAAGTGTTAAAAAGTTATTTCAAGGCTTAGGCAATTGAAAATCTGAGAACAATGGCATCCATCATAAGTCAAAACAGGAGACGACGTTGTCGAAGAGTTGGGCTAGTGATAGTAGCGCGTACAATTGTTAGCCCGAAAGTCTCGATTTCAGATTCCGGACTATAGCTCGTAGAAAATCTGAGTCCACCAAACAGCTCTAAGAAGTTCCTGTACACAACACTAAACACTCAAGGGACGTAACCATGATATACACATTCAAAGGGAGGTAAAAATCACCAACAGACTTAATGTAATAGTTACCATTTTCGCAATTTATCGCCCCCTACCTCGGAGGATTTAAACAAGCCTATAATCGTGCATGAAATGGACTATGGATATCAGATCTACAGACAACTTCTACAGCCTTTCATTAAGGTGGTGTAGGCTATAGGGGTCAGAGTTTAGACCGCGTCAGAGTTGTACAATCAACAGTCTTGAAGAAAGTGCTCTGCGTTTTCCGGGACCATGCCACAAGTGCAAGTGTCTCTAGGACCAACTTTATTTTTTAAACATGTTCTATATTGCTATTCTTGCCGCAAAAACAAATCGCCACCACATGTATTTACCAGTTATACTTCGTCACAATATGTAAACCCCGTCACATATCGTAACAAGTTGCCGTCCCCACCCAATTACTTACCGTCACAATATTCGCTACCCCCACCTCCGTTACAAATCGTCACAGTCTGTCACCCCACCTTCCAATAACATCACATTTATACTAATGGGATTTAAAAAAAATATATATCATGTTTTCTTTCTATTCTACTTAACTGAATAAAAAAAAGTAAATTCAACTGCTTTTTTACAAGCTTTTATTTAACTCGCTTCCTCTGTCGTCAGTCTGTCTGTCTAGATCAAAACGCTGGAGTGAAAATTCGGACAGTTCTACTTGACCGATACGATTCACAGTTGGCACGTGGGTCAAGACATGAAGACAATGCAATCTGAAACTAAATTTGACTTAATTGGATGTCTAATTAATTTTTTATGAATTAATTAAAATTTGAACCGAATTAGTAGGCATGTCTATCCAACCACACCACACGCGTCATCACGTTCAATAGCTGCGCCATCAGGTTCAATAGACGCGCAATGGTTTTTAGTCATGTAACACTATTGTAAATAAAACATGTAAAGTACTGAAAAAAAATTCATAAAAAAACGTTATAATAACAAGCTTTTATGTACTAATGCACTAAAAAGTAGAAAATAAATTATACACTACTATTTAAATTACTATAAAGAAAAGCGTGGATCTCTTATCAAATATTAGTAAAGGTATCCAATAGGTACTAAAGTGACCCGCGCTTTTCTTTATAGTAATTTAAATAGTAGTGTATAATTTATTTTCTACTTTTTAGTGCATTAGTACATAAAAGCTTGTTATTAAAACGTTTTTTATAAAAAAAATGTTATTACATCTTGTAGCACGTCCGATAAAATGTGCTAAATACATAGATTCACAATTCATTTACACAAGTCAAAGCGCAAAGATATAACGTGGAAAAAGTATTGTTTTCATTGCACATTTTTTTTATTTTTGTCTGACCCCCTTCCCTGTCGTAGATTGGCTTCTCAGTATTTCTCAACACAACCATTTTTCCTAAGTAAAATTTCTGTTGTTGTCACCCCCAACACAGTTGATTGTTTTAAAAAAATGCAAAAAAAATTTAAACGATTATTTATAGTCAGCTATAACATTAATTATTC